TAAGTTGAACGGTGTCGACCGGTAGAAGGGGTCTGCCGGCACGCCGATCGAACTCTATACCTCGCGCCGTGTCTGTCACCCACATGAGGAACGATCGGGGCTCCTGTGACCTGCAAGAAATCAACCTCGTCGGTATCCCCAAAATACGCTGATACCGCAATGTAAGGCAAGAAACTGTTAACGACGAAAAAGATTGTAGAAATGATCGAAATGAATGTTTTGATTTAATTAAGAATAGTATGAAAGTTTGCATTGCGACCAGGCTATGGGTCTCGTTCATAGTACGAGTCTGTAAAATCCGTTTGAGTCCCAACGGCACCCGGCCCCGGGAGAGGCGATACCTTGGTTCGCCCGGGTGCGCGACTAGGACCTGTCCCGGGTCTAGATCCAGTCTGGTCTGGCTTGATCCGGCCAGTCTGATCTCGTCTAGTCTGTCTTGTGTCAGGTCTAGTCTGATCTGATCTGATCTGGTCTGACCCGGCCTGATACGTCCTGGTTGGGTCTGATATGGTCTGTTGCGATGCTCTCTGGTCTGGTCTGAACTGGTCTGATCTGATCTGGTCTGGGTCTGTCTCTTATACACATCTAGATGTGTATAAGAGACAGGTCTAGATCCAGTCTGGTCTGGCTTGATCCGGCCAGTCTGATCTCGTCTAGTCTGTCTTGTGTCAGGTCTAGTCTGATCTGATCTGATCTGGTCTGACCCGGCCTGATACGTCCTGGTTGGGTCTGATATGGTCTGTTGCGATGCTCTCTGGTCTGGTCTGAACTGGTCTGATCTGATCTGGTCTGGGTCTGGTCGGATTCTGATCTGGTTCTGATCTGGTTTGGTCCGGATCTGGTCCGGTATGTTCGGATCTGGTCTACTTTGGTCTGGTGGCCCGGTAGGGGGGGCTTTTGAGTCCGAATGAGGCTCGGCGTGCACATCCTTCATTCATCCGCTCTTGAATCTCCTCACTTTGGCATTCCCAACACTGAGCAGAAATCACATTGCTTCAACATCCGTTGACACCTCTCAAGTCACCTTGCAGAGTCGAACTGCAGTTAAGCTCAACAGAGCTTCTTTCCCCGCCGATTCTCGCAAGCCCCTTCCTTCAGGTGTTGTTGGTGCGAGAAGGACATTGGAAACCTCGTCGGCTCTTTTATGCGCGCCACTTATCAGGTGACGGGGCACTAGCCCTTCCCCTTGAATGTGGCAGGTAGGGACAACAGTTGTGGCTTCCAGAGACGGTAGATGTAACAGTAGGAATCTTGTTAGTCCAATCATGCGTGTCACCTGTTAGACGACAGGGCGTTGGCTTCTTCGCCGCCGGTTCCTCCCTGCAAGATTTCCCGGCTGGAACTTCGCGTGATGATAGGACAATAGAAATCTTGTTAATCCAATCGTACACGCCGCTAATTAGATGACGAAGCCTTAGAATTTTTTTCCCTCGTATTCTTCGAGATCCATTCCCTCGGCTGTAGGATTGTAGACACGAACAGTAGAAACCTCGCCCCTCAAATCATAGGTGTCACTAATTAGATGATGTGGCATTGGCGATCTCATGAGAGTCATAGTTACTCCCTCCATTTACTTGCGCTGAGTTGAATCTCCTCACTTTGGTCTGCAGAGCGTCGGGCAGAATCTCATTACATCCACACCCGTCGAGTCTCTCTCTCATTCCCTCTCTCTCTCTCTCTCTCTCTCTCTCTCTCTCTCTCTCTCTCTCTCTCTCTCTCTCTCTCTCTCTCTCGTGCACGCACGCGCACAGGCGTGCTGTCCGATTCGCGCACGCTGCTCGTTCCTCTTACCCGACAGCTCTCCTGCTGTTCGCGCTGTAGTGCCTTTCCGCGCAACAGCTTCTCCCGCGCAGAACTTCACGCAACTTTGTTCCGACTCCGCGGGCAGATCCACTCTTACCTCGCCGCAACTTCTCTCTCTCCTCGCGTGCACTCCCCGTGCGTTCACACCAGCTTGGTTACGATTGAATCTAGCGCACTGCAAAGACCAGGTTCGTTAAGGTGTTTTTCGTCTCGTTCTCTCTCTCTCTCTCTCTCTCTCTCTCTCTCTCTCTCTCTCTCTCTCTCTCTCTCTCTCTC